TGGAAAGGAGAGGAGGGCCACAAGGGAGGCCCCCCCCATGGCCAGTGCGAATTGGACTAGGGAGGGGGCGGCGCCCCCTCTTTCGTTTCCCCGTCCTCCTCCTTCCCTCTCCCTCCCTCTCTTGGAAAGGAAGGGGACTCCAACTAGGATTGGGAATCCTAGTTGGACTCCCCTATGGCACGCGCCCCCCTATGGCCGGCCTCCTCTCCTCCCCCCTTTTATATACGTGGGAGGGGGGCACCCCAAAGGCACACCAAGTCTTCTCTTAGCCGTGTGCGGTGCCCCCCTCCACAGTTACACACCTCAGTCATATCGTCGTAGTGCTTAGGCGAAGCCCTGCGCCAGTAACTTCATCATCACCATTGCCACGCCATCATGCTGAGGGAACTCTCCCTCATCCTCAACTGGATCAAGAGCTCGAGGGACGTCATCGTGCTGAATGTGTGCTGAACACGGAGGTGTCGTATGTTCGGTACTTGGATCGGTTGAATCGCGAAGATGTTCGACTACATCAACCGCGTTACTAAACGCTTCCGCTTTCGGTCTATGAGGGTACGTGGACACACTCTCCCCGCTCGTTGCTATGCTTCTCCTAGATAGATCTTGTGTGATCGTAGGATTTTTTTTTGAAATACTGCGTTCCCCAACAGGTGCTCCTGCCTTGCCGCTGCCTCGTGGACCCCCTTGATGTGAGACCAAGGCCAAAAATTCCTATAAATACCAAAACCCCCAGAAAGAAACCTAGATCGGGAGTTCCGCCGCCGCAAGCCTCTGTAGCCACGAAAAATCAATCTAGGCCCTCTTTGGCACCCTGCCGGAGGGGCCATCATCACCGGAGGCCATGGAAGAGGATCCCGGAGGGGGCCATCATCACCATGGAGGTCAACGACCAAAGGGAGAACCTCTCCCCATCTAGGGGGCATGCCATGGGGGAGAAAGCACAAGGGGGAGACTCTCTCCCCCTCTCTCTCGGTGGCGACGGAGTGCCACCGGGGGAACCATCGCCGCGGTGATCGTCTTCATCAACATCAACATCACCATCTTCATCACCATCCTCATCTCTTTTACGCAGTCCACTCTCTCGCACCCCGTTGTAATCCCCTACTTGAACATGGTGCTTTATGCCACATATTATGATCCGATGATGTGTTGCCATCCTATGATGTTTTCAGTAGATTTATTTTGTCTTTTGGGTTGATTGATGATCTGGATTGGTTTGAGTTGTATGTTTTATTTTGGTGTTGTCCTATGGTGCCTTCCATGCCGCGCACACATGAAGGATTCCCTCTGTAGGGTGTTGCAATACGTTCATTATTCACTTATATTGGGTTGCTTGAGTGACAGAAGCATAAACCCGAGTAAGGGGGTTGTTGCGTATGGGATAAAGGGGACTTGATGCTTTAATGCTATGGTTGGGTTTTACCTTAATGATCAGTAGTTGCGGATGCTTTCTAGAGTTCCAATCATAAGTGCATATGATCCAAGAAGAGAAAGTATGTTAGCTTATGCCTCTCCCTCATATAAAATTGCAATAACAACCACCGATCTTGTTAACAATTGCCTAAGACAATTCCGCACACCGATCCATCATTATTCCACACTCGCTATTTATAATATATAGTAATATATTCTAACTTTATGTTAACATCACCTATTTTTATATTTTAGTTCTTCGATATCATGCAAAGCTATCCTCTTTATACCTACAACGTAGTTTTATTTCTTGTCTCTAGATGGAAGCAAACGTTAGGTGTACGTAGGGCCGTATCAGTGGCAAATAGGACTTGAGAGAATATTGATCTTACCTTTAGCTCCTTGTGGGTTCGACACTCCATACTTATCACTTCCACCTTTGGAAAATTTGCTACGATGATTCCTTGCACTTGGGGATTACCACTCATCCGGAGCAAACAGAGGTTGGTGGTGTAATTGGGACCGGAGGAAACTTTGGTCGGCTGCTTTGGCCCTACAACGACGATGTTTTTCAGCGTCATTATCCTCCTTGGAGGCGAAGCCGAGGTCCATCCTATCCACCCCTGACCCCCTCCCGAACGGTCCAAAATCCGCGTGATTAGGCGGCGGCGACGCCATGCACGTCGTACCCCTCATGAGGGCGCCATCTGGGGAGGCTTTGGTGTTCAGGATAGGGATGTTCTGGAGGTGGGCTCTGGGTGGCAAGGGGTGGTGGCAGTGGTGCGGAGGTTCACAGGTCGAGTGATGTGTCATCTATCGCATGAAGACGACGAGTATCGGCAGCATGGTGCGGCTGGATCTTGACGACAAATGTGTCTGGATGGATGAGTGCGGGGCGGTGGCGCTGTTTGGCATCGTGACGGCGTTGACGGTAGGCCTAGAAAGGTCGATGCGCCAGTACCTGCTCCGAAGATGGATTGGTGGAAGATGGTGGCGATGACCCATGAGAGTGCGTCGGACCGGTTTGTGCCCCACGCTCGGGATGTGGTCAGGGGTAAATTTGCCGGCCTCTTATTGATCTCCTCCCCAGGTTAGGTCTCTGATAAGCGTCTCCCATGCCTGGCGCTCCAATTGATGGTGCAAAATACCGTCATATCCCTCAGTAGGGTTCCTGACGAGGTTGGAAGTACAAGACGGAGCCCGCACACACAAGTTACCAAGGTTCGGCCCTCCAGAGAGTAATACCCTATGTCATGCTTCTTCTTGTTATTGATGATGATGATGAGATACCTCATGCGAGGGAATACAATAGGGAACTAGGCTGCCACTGGAAGTTGTTTATCTCTAAGATTAGATGCCTTGGGTGTTCCCTAACCTTCCCTTGTGTAGGTAGTGGAGCTTAGGGTTTACAGGGAGAAGTTGCGATCTAGGCCGCCGCCCTTCTTGGCTTGGAGAGCAAGACACCCAAAGGTCGGTTCTTATCCTTGCTGGGCCCCGCAGGCCCTGATCCGTCCTTTGGCTTTATCCAGCCGATGAGCCACCCCGGGCCATGGCTCCATCACTTAGTTGCCTTAGGATGTGTTTGGTTGCAGGGATATCCTCCAAGGGACAGGGATAGCCCTTCTATACGAGGGATGCCACCCGTTTGGATCCGAGGCGAGGGAGGACAGGGGCAACCAGATGCTTGGAATATTTGCCAAAAACGGGGCTGGGGTCAGCCGCGAAAACTGGCGGGTCGCGCCAGCCACCCCGCGCGTGCGTCGCTGCGTTCACGCGCGAAACATTATTTTCGGGTATTGACCCCCACTCACCCCTCGCGAAACCCTCACTTTCCCCGTTCCTCGTCTCTCCCTTTTGTGAGCGGCGGCGGCAGCGACGGCGACGCATCTAGCAGAGGCCGGCGAGAGGTGAGTCCTTCTCTACTCTTTCCCTCTCCTCTCCTTTCCTTCTATCTCCCTACCTCCATCAATCGCGTGTGCCGGCCGGCCGTTGCGGAGGGTGTGCACAGGGGCGACGCGGGCTAGATTTGAGGCGGCGGCGCGACTCGATCTGAACGAGGGCGGCGGCTGGGGGCTTGAGAAGGCGTGAGTGGCACCAGGAGGTCGCCCTTGCCCACCGTGGGGAGCCTGGCCATGGGGGGATCTCACCACCAGGGCGTGCTGGCAGAGGTGGAGAAGGATTCTCCAGCGAGCGGCTGCATATGCACGACTGCATCCGCTAGGCTGCATCAGAGTGTGTGTGTTCTGATGTGTGTGCGCTTGATGCTTTGCTGCTGTAGGCTGATGCGTAGTGTTCATGTGTGCGTGTGCTAGAGTCTGCTCATGTGTGCGTGTGCTAGACTGATGTATATTATATGTTTTTTTGCCGGAACTGATGTACATTGTCTATTGTTGCAGGATATCTGAAGGTCACCGTGAGCACATCTAGCAGCACAACTTCAATCTGAGGTAAAACATACACTCCACCACCTACCTCCTATTTCTTTCTCTGAAATATTTGACACTAGAACAGAACGTCGATTTACCTATGAATAATTGGCTTCTTGTAGACAGATTTTGTGCTATTAAATTATTCTTGTTCACATGTTAAAGTGTCATTTCTAATTGCATTGTAGATGGACAAAACAACAACAACAACAACAACAACAACAACAACAAAGCCTTTAGTCCCAAACAAGTTGGGGTAGGCTAGAGGTGAAACCCATAAGATCTCGCAACCAACTCATGGCTCTGGCACATGGATAGCAAGCTTCCACGCACCCCTGTCCATAGCTAGCTCTTTGTCGATACTCCAATCCTTCAGGTCTCTCTTAACGGACTCCTCCCATGTCAAAATCGGTCGACCCCGCCCTCTCTTGACATTCTCCGCATGCTTTAGCTGTTCGCTATGCACTGGAGCTTCTGGAGACCTGCGCTGAATATGCCCAAACCATCTCAAACGATGTTGGACAAGCTTCTCCTCAATCGGTGCTACCCCAACTCTATCTCGTATATCATCATTCCGGACTCGATCCTTCCTCGTGTGGCCACACATCCATCTCAACATACGCATCTCCGCCACACCTAACTGTTGAACATGTCGCCTTTTAGTCGGCCAACACTCCGCGTCATACAACATTGCGGGTCGAACCGCCGTCCTGTAGAACTTGCCTTTTAGCTTTTGTGGCACTCTCTTGTCACAGAGAATGCCAGAAGCTTGGCGCCACTTCATCCATCCGGCTTTGATTCGATGGTTCACATCTTCATCAATACCCCCATCCTCCTGCAACATTGACCCCAAATACCGAAAGGTGTCCTTCCGAGGTACCACCTGGCCATCAAGGCTAACCTCCTCCTCCTCACAGCTAGTAGTACTGAAACCGCACATCATGTACTCGGTTTTAGTTCTACTAAGCCTAAACCCTTTCGATTCCAAGGTTTGTCTCCATAACTCTAACTTCCTATTTACCCCCGTCCGACTATCGTCAACTAGCACCACATCATCCGCAAAGAGCATACACCATGGGATATCTCCTTGTATACCCCTTGTGACCTCATCCATCACCAAAGATCCTAATTTACGTGGCTGCGGCCCAGTGGTTTATCAACATGATAGCATTGGTTGTTCAATCCAGAAAAAGAAAAAGAAGAGAAGCAATTACGTATGCCCCGATTGATGAGAGAGATAGGATGAGAAGAGAGTATTTTGACAACAAAATATGGAAGAATGACACAATTTGTGTGAACATGCTTAGGCTTGGGAGAGAACCTTTCTTTAGGTTTTGTCAACTCTTTAGGGATCGCAACTTGCTAAAGGACACAATACACTTGACTATTGAGCAACAAGTAGTGATGTTCTTGCACACCGTTGGGCACAACATTAGAAATATGGTAATTGGCACCAATTTTGGTAGATCCGGTGAAGTCGTGAGCCGTTACTTCAAAACGGTACTCCATGCCATTGGTGAGCTTCGAGATGACCTTATTAGGAAGCCTTCATTGGAGACCCAAACCAAAATAGAAGGAAACTACCGGTGGGATCCATACTTTAAGGTATGAGACCAAGTGACAACTATATTTTGTCATTGTAGGCATGAATTTGTTTAGATCCTAATATTTGGGCTTTTGTTTTCACCAAATAGGATTGTATTGGAGCTATTGATGGTACACATGTGCGAGCCTCAGTTACACCGGATATGGAGCCTCAGTTACACATGTGTTTCTCTGTGTCCAAACACTGGCTGAAATTACCTATATTTGCTGGAAATCGTTTCTTCATGCCCAAACAATTGTTGTACATCTTTCTTTATGTCCAAACATTTGATGTACATCTTTCTTTTATGCTGATATAATTTTTGGAATGTTACTTTATGACCAAACACTTGCTGGAATTGTTTCTTTATGTCCAAACACTTGTTGTACATCTTTCTTTTATGCTCAAATACTTGCCAGAATTATTTCTATATGCTAAAATACTTGCTGAATGTTTCTTTATGTCAAAATACTTACTGAAATTACTTATTTTGGTTCTACAAGGCTCACCCAGAGGATGAACAATACCTTAACAAGACTATTACTCATTATAAGGAGATGGTGAATATAGCTGGAGGGAGCATGGCTACAGGGCAATATGCAAAAGGCTCAAGTGACCCTCTTGCTACAGAAGTGGTAAATCTTGAAGAAGAGACAACCAAGAAACCCACTGCCCGAAATGAGGAGGTTGCGCAATCAACCAATGTAGGTTCATCTGGTCCCAAACCAAAGAAAGCCAAACCAAATCCTTGTGCAGAAGACAAGTTGCACGCAACCATACTAGCATCTAGTGAAAGAATTGCTATTGCGATAGAGAAGAGTACTAGCAGCGAGAACAATGCCATAGATGGTCTTTGGGAGAGCATGAAAGTACTTCCTGGTTTCAGTTTGGATCACCTTGCTCATTACTATGCATATTTGGTTGACAATCCTCATGTTGCTATGGCATTCAAGGTGTTAGAAGAGGATCAAAGGAAGGTTTGGGTTTCTAGGTATGTCAAGAGTACCTTCCCTGAAGCATAAGGATGGTGAGTGCATATGTGGTGAACTGGTGATTGACTTGTACTTTTGATGCAACCAAAACATGAACTATGAGTTGTATTGATTAACTCTTTTGATGCAACCAGACAATTACTATGGTTGTATAACTATTAGGTTCTAGTAGTACTCCATGGAATGTTGAACTATGAGTTCTATGCACCCGAGTTCTATATATATGAAATGTTGAATTATTATATGTGATGAAGTTCAAAGTTTGCTCTACTGTTTTGTTTTGGCTGTTGTGAAATAGTATAAAATTTCGAAATTATGACTGTACGCAACATATTTTCCTTCCTTTCATTGAAAAAGTACAAATTATGAGGGTAATCTCATCATCTCAAGTCAAAAAGGTTACCACAATCCTTATTCTTTGATTATCCCTCGAACCAAACACTACAATGGCTATCCCCAACCATGTTTCATCCTTCCATCCAAACAAAACATGGGATAACCTCACCCTTCCAACCAAACAGAAAAAGGGCTATCCCTAGCCAGCTGGTTGGGGATGCCCTCGGCCACCCTAATCTGTCCCTCAAACCAAACACATCCTTAGAAAAACTGCAAATGAATTCAAAAGGTTGGATTAAACATAAAATCCTCTAAACAACAAAGTGCAAGCAAGTTCTTACAAGCTGCATTTATACAAATCGAGGAACCCCAAATAATTATTTATTTTAAAAGTACAAACATGAAGGGCCTATTTGATTCATAATAATTATAAGAAACAAGAATAGGTAAGAAGTGGAGGATTAGAGTGTCATCTCAACTTGAATCTTATAGAATTAAAAATCTATAGGAATTTGGATGAATGATAGCACAGAGAAAATAAACAATTCTACAAAGAGTTTTTGTGGATGATTCTTTTTTTTCCCAAAATACTCCCACCGTTTCAAAATAATTAAAGTTCTATGATTTTTTAGAGTCATTTTTTAAGTTTGACCAAGTCTACAGAAAATCCACAAAGATCTACAATATCAAATATATTTCATAATAAATCTAATGAAGTGATTTTGATTTTGTAGATATTAATATATTTTTTGTAGACATAGTCAAACTTAATGAAGTTTGGCTTTGAACAATCCTAGAACTTCAATTATTTTGAAACGGAGAGAGTAGAGTGTAGAAAATGTAAGATTTTTTTAGGATTTTAATTCTAGAAATCAAACGACCAATGTAAGAAAGACTTCTAAGGATCCAAATCCTTTAAAAATCCTGTGGAATTGCTTTGAATCAAAGGAGCATAAAGAAATCCACTGAAATTCATTTGGATTAGGGTGGCTGCATCCCATTCCCATCGCCATCGTCCCCCACCTCAAACATCTGCTCTCTCTGCCTCACGAACGCGACCCAAAACCCCTCCCTAACCCACTCCGCCTCTCCCCTCTCCTCCGCCATGGCCGCTGGGCGGGCCTTCTTCTGCGCCCCCTCCTCCATCGGAGCCACCGCCCGTCGGCTAGCCTTCGCCTCACCCCCGGCCCGCCCCCTCGCCTCCGCGCCCCACCGACGCGTCCGCGGCCGCTGCTGCGCCTCAATCTCCTCGTCCTCAGATGCCTCCGCGCCCGCGCCGCCACCCTATGTGCTCACCACGCCGCTCTACTACGTCAACGCACCGCCGCACATGGGCAGCGCATACACGACCATCGCCGCCGACGCCGTCGCCCGCTTCCAGGCAAGCCTTCACACTACTTTTACAAGTCCGTGTCAGGAATTTGAGTACATTACTCGAGATCCACCTGCTGGCAGCCATGTTTGGATACGCAACCCGTATGAAATATTAATAATGGCTGGTGCGCTTCAGTGCTCTCTAGTTAAGTGGTGAATATGCCAGTGCATATATATACCGCGGGAATGCAGATGCACAGACTTCGATATCTTTGTGTGTTGGCAGTGCAAATATTTCCAGTTTGATGATTTGTTTGTTAGACTAGTTGAGCTACTGGGAGCATTGTGTACCTTTTGCTGCCCGACTCCTCAAGAATTTGTTCATGGTGCTTATCTGGTTGCAGAGATTGCTAGAGAAGAGGGTTATATTCATTACTGGGACAGATGAACATGGTGAAAAAATTGCCACCTCTGCAGAGGCCAGTGGTAGAAACCCCAAGGAGCACTGTGATATAATTTCAAATTCATACAAGATGCTTTGGGCTGATGTATGTCACAACACAAAGTATTTTCAGTCTACCATTTCACAATATGTCATAAATCTGGAGCTCACATTTCTCTTCCAACTTTGTTTTTGCTTGCAGCTAGACATCGAATATGACAAGTTTATTCGCACAACTGATCCTAAGCACGAGGCTGTTGTTAATGACTTCTATTCTAGAGTTCTAAGCAGTGGTGACATATATAGAGCTGATTACGAAGGGCTTTACTGTGTCAGCTGTGAGGAGTACAAGGCAAGCTTCTTTGTACCTTCTCATATAGAAGCACTAGTACATTTTTTAGGTAAATGTATTTATACATGTATGAATGGATAATTATAACAAGTGTTATCATGGGCATCTATGTAGATTATCTCTACAGTTCTGTATTGCTAAATTTACCAAATAATAACGTCTATTTTGTTGATTGCACACAGGATGAAAAGGAGTTGGCGGAAAATAATTGCTGCCCTGTGCATCTGAAGCCTTGTGTACCTAGAAAGGAAGATAACTATTTCTTTGCCTTGTCAAAATATCAGCATAAATTAGAAGAGCTGCTGACAAGAAATCCCAATTTTGTAAGGCCATCACATCGTTTGCACGAGGTGAGTCGTTATCCTCTATAATGTTTTGTTCAATCTGATGTGTGTTTATCGAGTTACTGCTAAAAATCGCGGTGGAAAAGTGTAGAACTATTTGCTTATTAAATGGAGATTCTAATTATATTGATTTAACTACTGACAGATTAAAAAAATGCATCATGTCAGCATATGTATTATTGAAGATTTGGCACGATTTTCTTAAATATATCTGTGCAGTCAAATATGTGAAAAACTATGTGGATTTTGTTGGGTTGTCGCATTCCTTCTTGCCAAGAAGTGCCGTTGGCATGTTGAACAAACATCATCACAATACATTTCCTTTCTGGCAACCTGTCAAATGGTCACTTAGATATCGTCCTAATACCTAACTAGCTTAAAGATTAGAACCTAGATGTCATTGTTTATCAGTTTTGAAAAAGAAAGCTTCCAAAGGCTGCTGTGTATATGGTAAACGTTAAAATAGTCGATAGACAGTGAAGAGTGTCTTCAAACCACAGTGGTTCTCATGTAATTCCTAGCTTTTACAGCAGCATCATGTCAGGGTTTAGCGGCTTACAGTGCAAGTTTGGTGTTGGGGAGTCATGGTTGTTCAATCCAATCCTGGACCTCGTCACCTGATGTAGTTGCTGGCAATCTCCCCTGCCCATCTTCGTAATCGAATTGCGGTGTTTTGGCTAAAAAGCTTACTGAGCACTTGAAGCCTGGCCATTACATGTTTATTTTCCTTGCGCTGGCAAGATGGGATCTCAACTATGACATCTCAAAGTACATGTGTGCATCGGCGCATGCCTACACATTGACTGACAATAATGCACTTTATTAAGTAACCTCTATTCTTCTCACAGTAACACACCTTGATTTTGTGTACAGTGATAGGATAATATAATTTTTCTTCTTATATAAGTGTCCAAGATTAATAATTTCATACTCTGCTTCATGTTTTAGCTTTCAGTAAAAATATAACCCTTGACGCTTCATTAATTGCCAATCTTTCAGCTCACATGTGTTTATTTTCATGGTTTTAGGATGCCCTTGTTTCTTTGTTATTTTACTAATTAAGACACAGCTGTAGGTCGAAGGCTGGATTAAAGGTGGATTGAGAGACTTTTCTATTTCTCGTGCATCTGTCGAGTGGGGTATTCCAGTGCCAAATGACACCAAACAAACAATATACGTGTGGTTTGATGCCTTATTAGGGTATGTTTCATTCCTGCTGCTTGGCATTTTAATAAGCATGAACAGTTTGCGTATTCTTACTCAAATTCTACTGGATAGATATGGCTGTATGCGGCGTGTTGTCTGATATCAGTGTCCTCTGTTTAATCCTACCATGCAAGTATAGAATACACTCAACTTAATTGATTTATATTCATGTTTGGCAATGACAATTCTTAGATAAATTGTTCTTTTGTTTACTCGAAACTGTGAACTTTCTATGCAAAAGCAAAAGATGCTCCAGTCTCTTAGTCCATGCATGTTATATATGTGCAGTTAACTTCTTGAAATCTTGAAATGAGGCTAGAGTACGTAATCTTATGTAGCATTGCCTATTACTTTGTTTCGTACTGGTTGTTCATTTCTGTATGTTTGTCTCTTTAGTTATCTTTCAGCATCCCTAGATGATGGGGAGCAGGCAAGTTTACAGCAAGCTGTTGATCGGGGTTGGCCTGCATCTGTACACCTGATAGGAAAGGTCGGTTTTGGGCAAATAATTTTTGCAGCTTCTTCAAACATGTTTTTTTGTTTCAACTTATAGCAAAACACCATATTGATTGATTTCTTCTTATCGTCATAAGGAGCTCTCATTTTGATGTGAACTTAGATAGTATCACTTTTTTTTAGTGCTGCTAAGAGAAAGTGCTGAAATATGACATTTATCAAATGAATAAACAAACATAAACTCCTTTATGCTGATCTATATAGTAACCAGCTAACATCACATAGCCACTCAGTTTTCCATATGGCGAAACTCGGGGACAAGTTTCACTCCTTCCAGTTCTCAAGATTAGATCCTATTTCCTTTAAACTTATTTCGATAGGGCCCTTGTGCCTCAGCTGCAGTTACTTGCACTAATAAAAATATCATGTGTCATGCTGGGTTTGTTGACTTGGCACTGGTAGGTCACAGTTGAAACAATTTTGACAGATGCATCCCCTAATTCCCAAAAGTGAGAGACGTGTGACAGCTAAGAAATAGAAAGAACAATACATCTCTTCTCATATGTTAAATCTGATGTATTTTATTATGTTTCATAATACCTGGAGATGCCAACGTCATAAAATGTACTGTTAATCTACTGCTTCCAGTACAATTTACTTGGAGCTGGTCACTGTAGATATTGACATTTTTTGTCCCATTTAAAAGCAATAATATTGGATAAACTTCTTTGTTTTGTATGTTCATTCAGTTTGTGACGATCTCTTGTACATGTACCTCAGGACATATTGCGGTTTCATGCAATTTATTGGCCAGCAATGTTAATGTCAGCAGGGATAAGCGTTCCTGATGCAGTTTTTGGCCATGGATTCTTGACAAAGGTGACCTCACATATTTCCAATGTTCTTGTTTCCACATCAACTGACAGTGATATAACACCATACAGTACATACTATTTTGAGCATGTCTATGTGACCATCGTATTTGATGAGGCCTTTTCCTGCAACTACATGTGCATTTCCCATCTAGACATTTGGACATCGGTTGCATACTTCCACTCAGTATCATCTCTACCTTACAATACATCACGTTTTACCATATGTATGATTTCAATCTAACTTGTATAATGGTACTGCACATGGCACAAGTTAGCACACCTATATTAGTGTATATATGTATTAGCATTCGTCCTTTTACCTGTTGGTATTTCACATGTTCTATAGTTGTGGCTTTGTAGCTCATAGATAATTCTGTATTTTTGGCCACCTTCTTCCTCGATTTTTCAAGTTTACAACCCTCTACTATGTGTGTACGTCAAATTGTAAGAACTCATGTTCTCCTTTTTATGTGAAATAAATGTTTGTCTTCTCCCTCCTTTTGTAACATTTGTCCATTTTTCTGGGAAATTCTATTTCACAATAGTTTTTTCATTGCTGCAGGACAGGTTGAGTAGGAGTAGTCTTTAATTTTATAGGGATGCGTATGGTCCAATGGCATTAACTATTATAAATTTTGCGCCTCATTGGTGCGCATGGTTGTCTTGGACAGATATTGTGAAACACAGCAACTGCTTTGCAGTTGTGTCTTTGAGTGACAAATATGAATTCTATTTGGGCTCCCAGCCACTTTTATCTCATTAAATCACTTTTATTTCATGCAGCTGCTTTTTATTTTGCAAATTTTAGGATGGCATGAAGATGGGAAAATCACTAGGCAACACACTTGAACCAAAGGATCTGGTAGGCAGATTTGGAGCGGATGCTGTTAGGTACTTCTTGCGGGAAGTAGAATTTGGCAATGACGGGGACTATTCAGAAGAACGTTTTATCAATACAGTCAATGCACATCTTGCTAACACAATTGGTATTTTTGCGTGCTAAAACTTTTATTCATTTATTTTCGGTTTATGCTTTAGTTGGTATTAACTGTCTGTCTTAAGTGGTTAGTGATGATACTGTTCTCATCTGAACAGGAAACCTTCTCAATCGAACACTTGGTCTCCTAAAAAAGAACTGCAATTCCACCTTAGCTTTTGATTCAATTGCTGCTGCAGATGGCAATTCATTCAAGAATAATGTTGAAAACTTGGTAAGTTGGTCTCTTTGGCATCTTCGGAACTGATGACAAACCATTGATCTGTCATTGCATTACTTCTGATGGGGTGTAGGTTGTCTGAATTGGCTTTATAAAGTGAACATCTTTATGAGGGAAATCGTTTCCAATTTTGCATTACAAAAGCTTGAAACCCTTTATATGTAATGATTGCTCCTTGTTTGGTGCTCCTTTTAAGTTCTGTTTCTTGGCGTACAGAAAGTAAAGACATCCAGCATAATGATCCTAGCTGAACTGTTTTATTATTTCTCTTCTTGGAGCTATAGATAATGGATATGATGTTTGCTGAATTGACATGTGACAATGAGCAACAAGCGCTTCAGACACTGTCAGCACGTTGTCCATTATGAATTGGTTCCACTTGATATTTCAAACACATGTTGCATTTGGATATTTCCGATCATCACCTGCTATTCATCTGCCTAATAAAAAGATTCTTTTAACACATGTTTGCATGTACTGCACTTCTGTTGTATCTGTTGGTGTTACAGTGATATAAATTGTTTATACAGGTCGACAAGGCGAAGGGCCATTACGAAAATCTTTCGTTGACATCAGCATGTGAAACTGTTCTAGAAATTGGTAACTTGGGAAACTTGTACATTGACGAGCAAGCACCATGGTCTTGTTTCAAGCAAGGGGGCGAGATTGCAGAAAAGGCTGCAAAGGTAAACACTTGAAAGTTGAAACTATATCTATTTCTCTTCCTTTTGGGCTTGCCGTGTTTGTTTCAGATTTTACTTGCCAAAATTTAATGCTGACAAAGTCAAACTGCATGATGCATTAGTTGCTTCTTTTCATGTTTGTAAAAGAAACCCACTTTCAAACAAAAGAGCACTCTTTGAGCTTCAAAATTCTTTATGTTCTGTACATTTGAGTACCTAATTCCGATGTCACAGCAACTCTGTTGTTGTGGCTGTAATAATGAAACTATAGCATGGCTTTAGTTGTTCTGATGAATTGTTGAGATGATTCTTGGGTGGCTAGTTTGAGTTATTTATTTGATGTTATTATTTTATTTTGTTTGTGATATTTGCCTTATTCATTTTTTTTTGTCTGCACTTCACACAGGATCTCGTCATTATTCTAGAGACAATGAGAATAATTGCAATAGCATTGTCTCCAATCACTCCAAGCCTTTCGTTGAGGATTTATACACAGCTTGGTTTCACAGAAGACCAGTTTCGTACATCGAGATGGGTATGTTCTTGTATGTCCAGGGATATGCTATTTAGGTCTAAACCAATTCTGCAAAGTATTTTACAGCCATTGTCTAGTGTGTATATGAACTAACACCCTCAGAGAACACAATCTTCAAACTATAAATAGCAGATATGCAATATAAAAAATTTCCAGTGGCGCGACATGCTTACAACCCTGTGCTAACTGCCCTGCAGGATGATACCAAATGGGGAGCCCTTAAAGCAGGCCAGGCAATGATGGAGCCGAAGCCAATTTTTGCGAAAATAGAAACCGAAATCGAAGAGAAAGATCAAGCAAGTCCAAAGGAGGGGAAGGGCGGGAAGAAGAAAGCACGTAGCAAAGGGCTCGTGGAGGCATGAGTTAAGCTTGTGACTTTGTGAGTACTGACTGGATGGCTCCTCAACTGTAGAACCCAGATGCCTGTTCTGCAAAACCATCTCAGATCTGATGGTGTAGATAGCATAAAAGCTTTGGTGGCAAAGAAGGCTTTGACATTTTGTAGAGAGAACTGAACTTAGCAATTCTGTTCTCTCAGGTTTTGAAACTCAAAATTGTACTCCCTACGTTCCAAAATAGATAACCCAACTTTGTATTAAGGTTAATACAAAGTTAAGTCATCTATTTGGAAACGGAGCGAGTACTACATTGAGATGGCAAAATTGGTGCACCCCTCGTTTGAAAATGTAGTACTCCCTCCGTTCCCAAATAGAAGTCTTTTTGGTGATTCCAACAAATGACTACATACAGAGCAAAATGAGTGAATCTACACTTTAAAATATGTCTACATACATCCGTATGTTATAGTCTATTTAAAATGTCTAAAAAGACTACTCCCTTCGTATAAGTGATTCGACTTTGTACTAATTTTGTATTAAAGCTAGTACAAAGTCGAGTCACTTATTTTGGGACGGAGAGAGTATTTAGGAACGGAGGGAGTATAAGGCATCCACATTTTCCACCAGTTAGCTCAATTTTTTTTTCTAGAATACGCACGGGGGTGACATTTAGATTATGTGAGTCAAAGGTAATGCAGTTGGATCTGTAACTTGTTGATGCCTCAGGAATATTGCTTGTGAGCTGTGACGATGTCCATCAATCAAGAATTACAAATACACCAAAAGGCCTACGCCTCTTCGGCGACCGGGGCGAAGGAGATGAGCTTGCGCCTTTTGTTGGCTGCCGCCTCGTACACCTCCACCTTGTACGCGTCCTTCTTGCCGGCGCCGTTCAGCGCCTCGACGACGAGCCGGTAGTTGAAGCCCGACACCACCTGCACCGTGCCCAGCACCACCTTGATGAACCTGAGCCGGCCGCCCGCCTGCTTCACGTGCTCCGCCACCGCCCAACGGCCGAGCCCCTGGATCTTCGGGTCGTTGATGTTACCGATGTGTTCCCACCCGCCGGGCATCGCCGTGGCGGGCATGGCGACGGCGTAGATGATGGCGGCCACCACGATGACGAGGGCGATGCTGGTCCTCATGGCTGCTGGTTTGTGGTGTGCTGGCTTTGGATCTATCAGTGAGGTTTGGAAGCTTGAGAGCGGTCAGATACTCAGATCAGTCGAGGATCACTGACATGTGAACCGGGGGCGTTTAAATAGAAGCGCCGAGACATGGTCGAATAGATAGACGGAGATAACTGAATGCATGTCATATACACCATATATCTATCTAATTGTATCTAGAAGTAGCAATTAATGTGGTCGATCCCTTGATGCATACCGATACATTCTTGATGCATGCCTAAGGCTGGCTGTAATGTGTAATATCATAAGTTACAAGTTAGTATCATGCATGTGATACTAGTGTATAATACTATCTCTGTAATATATAGTAATATAGATTAATACTTCCTCCGTCCGGTGAAGAGTGTACATTTAATTTTTTTAGGACAAATTATGGAGTTAAGTAAAAAATGTATTGGAGAGATGCAAACCACCATCTTTCTCCTCTTTAATTACCCAACCTCCAATGGGCTAAGTGCATGTAGAAATTAAGAAGACCATGTGTAGATTGTTATTGGTCTTCATTGGCGTGTGATGGGAGAGAAGTATTTTTTTCCTACTTTAAAGTGCATTGAAAAGATAGAAGTACATTTTTTTGTGGACAAATTTTGAAGCTAGATGTACACTCTTCACCGGACGAAGGAGTATCTCAGATGATCCTATTTATTGACATGCAAGACACATACTAGTATAATATTTATTATGATACGGTATCATAATACAATAATCAATTCTATTTTTCACTTAATTCTATGTCATTTCATCAAAATTTCCTAGCTGACATGTATGATACTAACTATGGCATCCCCATTACGGTTAGCCTAAGGTGGTACCAATGCTTCCTTAGAAAAAAAGGCGTCCATTAATTGGTTCCATATCAATATCTGATACTGATTTAAATGTTTGCTTATAGAAACATCCATCAATTGATTCCACGATGGATCTAATGATATTAATTTGCTGTTATGAATGCTGACATATTTTTCCTATAAACTTGATCAAACTTAGAAAATTTAACAAAATTTACGCGAAGTAAAAATAAATAAAGGGAGTATTAGTAAAGTAGACGCAAGACACTGAGACCAAAATATCTACAAGTACAATATACGAAACAGATATCATGGATATACATGTACGATTAAGTCATTATTCGTCCACAACAATGCAATCAAGAGGGGATAACACACACTCATGCCGACATCACCAAATCCAAGTAACAATGGCGAGGAGACATATTTTCGCGGTTCAACACTTATGAAAGTGTGTCATTGCAGGGTCCGGCCAGTAATGGCCAGAGTGTTAATTGTTACATTGGGCAGAAAATAGTGTTCTGGTCACCATCTTGACGGTGGATCTTAGAGAGCCACCTAACATAATGCTCCACTCGAAACTATCATGATGTCCTCAGAGATGGCCGTAAAAAAAGGCGCCACTGAAACTCCTTGCGGACATGCCCCAGCCTGAGGCAAATCAATGATAGGGCATGAGCATGTGCGGAGCCAAATGAGTACATGGGTGTACCGACGAACCCCTATTACTTTTGCCCAAACAATCAAGTATATAAGGATATGCATGATGTACGTTGCCTTTTCTTTGAGAGCTAAAGCCAATTTTTATTCATTAAAATCCACAGTGTGTGGGATACAAGCTGCGTCATGAGGCTGGCCAAGGCACACATGTTGCCCTAAAGCTAGATTAAGAGAAAATCTTGCCGAATTATGAACCTTGGCATTAGAGGCTCGACCTTCAAATGTAAAAAACACATGTAAAAGAGATAGCTTGCGCTTTAATTTGCTTGACGATGGTCCTCCCTGGTTAATGTCACCAATCACTTTTTTTGAGTGGCTTTGGGTCGCCTATGGGCTTGGACTTCATGTACGTTGGCTGGCACCAGTAATTCATACGTGTTTGGTTTTTGTCCCGTCGAGCCTTTTTTAACACAATTTTGTTTAGCCCAGCTATCCACACTACTTCTCTCCACCTCTCTCAGGTCCAAAGCCCATATAAGTAAGCAGCTAGCCTAAATGTACAAAAGCCCATTAGCTAGGGCTGCAAATCCCGAATTAAATGGCCCATTAGATACCGGTTTGGCTACAGCTCCAGAGGTTTCTAAAAAACAACTCCAGAGCCAGCTACTTGCCCCATATGTATTGTGACTTGTTAGATGCTGTCTTTTGCATACTATCTTACCATGGATGCTATTTGCTATTTTTTATTTTAAAAAATTGGCAACTTCAAAAAATAATTGGAACTCCGTACACCCAAATTTGAAATGTTGGCTCCGCCACTGGCCACGAGCCTTAGTAATACCAACTAATCTGAAAGGACACGTAGGCATGATGTCACAAGACAATAGCTGAAAGCACCCAAGCCTCATCGTCACGACCACATCGCTACCATGAGATCACACATGTGTGAGAGAGCCGCCGAATAACCATCTCCAATGGGGCCGACAAAGGTAGAAGAGGTGCTAAGGTGTGTTGGACTGGACATATCCCGCCCAAACCTGGCCATATGTGCCAGCCTCGTCGGCCGACGCATGGGCACAGACTTTTGACCCGACACATGCCTGGCACGACACGAGAATAATAGGGCCAAGCCGGCCTTCGGCCCGCCATGGAACAAGGTTGATCCCCGAAGCCAGGCCTTAAGGCCAGCACGTCACAACTTTTTTTTGCGGGCCGACACGACACAACACATACCCCACACATCGCGGCACACAACCCACCCATATGATAACTTGCAGCAAAATGCGGCAAACAGGGTTTTGGGAACATATCGGCCCACCCACTCAACCAGAAGGTACCATCGAACATGTCGGCCCACATAGCTCTTTTTTTACGTGGTGTTGACGTATAATATGAAGGAAATATGCCCTAGAGGCAATAATAAAGTTATTATTTATTTCCTTATATTATGATAAATGTTTATTATTCATGCTAGAATTGTATTAACCGGAAACATAATACTTGTGTGAATACATAGACAAACAAAGTGTCACTAGTATGCCTCTATTTGACTAGCTCGTTAATCGAAGATGGTTATGTTTCCTAACCATAGACATGAGTTGTCATTTGATTAACGGGATCACATCATTAGGAGAATGATGTGATTGACATGACCCATTCCATTAGCTTAGCACCCGATCGTTTAGTATGTTGCTATTGCTTTCTTCATGACTTATACATGTTCCTATGACTATGGGATTATGCAACTCCCGTTTACCGGAGGAACACTTTGTGTGCTACCAAACGACACAAGTAACTGGGTGATTATAAAGGTGCTCTACAGGCGTCTCCAAAGGTACATGTTGGGTTGGCGTATTTCGAGATTAGGATTTGTCACTCCGATTGTCGGAGATGTATCTCTAGGCCCTCTCGGTAATGCACATCACTTAAGCCTTGCAAGCAATGCAACTAATAAGTTAGTTGCAAGATGATGTATTACAGAACGAGTAAAGAGACTTACCGGTAACGAGATTGAACTAGGTATTGAGATACCGATGATCGAATCTCGGGCAAGTAACATACCGATGACAAAGGGAACAAACATATGTTGTTATGAGGTCTGACCGATAAAGATCTTCGTAGAATATGTAGGAGCCAATATGAGCATCCAGGTTCCGCTATTGGTTATTGACCGGAGACGTGTCTCGGTCATGTCTACATTGTTCTCGAACCCGTAGGGTCCGCACGCTTAACATTACGATGACATTTTCATTATGAGTTTATATATTTTGATGTACCGAAGGTTGTTTGGAGTCCCGGATGTGATCACGGACTTGACGAGGAGTCTCAAAATGGTCAAGACATAAAGATCGATATATTGGACGACTATATTTGGACACCGGAAAGGTTCCGGGTGAGATTAGGACAATACCGGATCACCGGGAGGTTATCAGAACCCCCCAGGAGGTATATGGGCCTTATTGGGCCTTAGTGGAAAGGAGGGGAAAGGAGCAAGGGAGGGGGCGTCCCCCCAAGCCCAATCCGAATTGGGAGGGGGGCCGGCCCCCCCTTTCCTTCCTCCCTCCTTCCTCTTCCTTCCCTCTCCTACTCCTAATAGGAAAAAGGGGAGTCCTACTCCCGGTGGGAGTTGGACTCCCCCCTAGGGCGCGCCACCCTCCTTGGCCGGCCCCCTCCTCCACTCCTTTATATACGGGGCAGGGGGGCACCCCATAGACACAACAGTTGATCATTGATCTCTTAGCCGTGTGCGGTGCCCTCCTCCACCATAGTCCTCGATAATATTATAGCGGTGCTTAGGCGAAGCCCTGCGACGGTAAAACATCAAGATCGTCACCACGCCGTCGTGCTAACGGAACTCATCCCGACACTTTGCTGGATCGGAGTCCGGGGATCGTCATCGAGCTAAACGTGTGCTAGAACTCGGAGGTGCCATAGTTTCGGTGCTTGATCGGTCGGGCCGTGAAGACGTACGACTACATCAACCGCGTTATGCTAACGCTTCCGCTTACGGTCTACGAGGGTACGTAGACAACACTCTCCCCTCTTGTTGCTATGCATCACCATGATCTTGCGTGTGCGTAGGAATTTTTTTGAAATTACTACGTTCCCCAACAGTGGCATCCGAGCCAGGTTTTATGCGTTGATGTTATATGCACGAGTAGAACACAAGTGAGTTGTGGGCGATATAAGTCATACTGCTTACCAGCATGTCATACTTTGGTTCGGCGGTATTGTTGGATGAAGCGGCCCGGACCGACATTACGCGTACGCTTACGCGAGATTGGTTCTACCGACGTGCTTTGCACACAGGTGGCTGGCGGGTGTCAGTTTCTCCAACTTTAGTTGAACCGAGTGTGGCTACGCCCGGTCAAGGTTAAAACAGCACCAACTTGACAAACTATCATTGTGGTTTTGATGCGTAGGTAAGAACAGTTCTTGCTAAGCCCGTAGCAGCCACGCAAAACTTGCAACAACAAAGTAGAGGATGTCTAACTTGTTTTTGCAGGG